GTTATACTAAGGACATTACATACTCATTAGTTGGAATGTTCCTGAAGTACATAATACAGGATTTTCATTTAATAAGAAGCAGCTACTTGCCACTGCGTTGCACATAAAATAAATTCTGGGCATGCTAATTGCCATTCGAGGATGTTCTACTTAATTCTTGACAGGTTTTTCTTCCCCTCCCCCTTTAGACTGCACTGTAAAAAATGTAAGCAGAATGTGTTGCTATAGTTTAGAAATCTTTTTAGAGTACTTTCTTATTTCTGAAACCTGGATGCTTGCAATGATGAATATAGAAGGCTTTAATGCAGATACTAAAAAAGAAACAAGTTATCCGTAGGAATATCGTAGCAAGAAGGGGAGTAGCAAGAAAGCAAAATACATATATATACGTGTATGTATCTCAGCACAGTAACTCTCCAAGTCACCAACCCCATCTTGAAGAACAAACCTAACTGTAATTAATTGGTATAGTTCCTCTATCTGAACCCTATTAGTGCATTAGAGTTAACTAATATATAAGCTTCCCCCTCGCTGCCCTGCCAATGACCTTAAGCTTCACATGGTAGGAAGGCCACTTGCTGCAGAATAGAAAAGTAATTTATCCACCATGATTGTTCAGCCCTGGCCCCTCTGTAAAACAGCGACTGACAATTGCGCTGTATTATGGATGGTACGTTTGTGGTGTGTACAATAGTGTGCAGAGCATCAAACTCACTTCCCTGAACACCGCAGGCAGGGTTTGAAAAGTGATCCTAGAAAGAAGAGACCACTTGCTGAGCGATGGCCCTTCATTTTCAAATCTTTTTTTTTCCCCTCTAAATATCTTCCCTCCTTTTTTTTTAAGCCAAAGAGAGACCAATATTGTTTTCTCATTTTAAGTAAAAGCAGTATGTAATCTTCCATTCATAAAAGTACGTCTTTTTCTTTTTTTTAAAAAAAAAAAAAAAGGTTGCTTTGCTTTTATTTTACCTGGGATTTCCCTACTTCTTTCCACATTTCAGGATTTAGCATATTCCCTCAAAACATAATAAATTTCGATTCTGTAGCTTAAGGGATCCATCAGTTAAAATGTTAGTCTTTCATCTTTATTACCCTCCCATTAAAATGAAAGAAACCGGGACACACTTCAGTTTAGAAGAAGCAATTTAGTTGGTAATGTCCTTACTACTCAAGTCTTTACAAAGAGAGAAAGTGCATTATTGCTTATATTTCACACATCTATCTGCATAAGAAGCAACTAAAGCTTTCAGACACATACGATGTTAAATTTAATAATATTCTTTGATTAGATTATTTTATTACAACATTTTTCCATTACCAGTCATTTCCCGTACACATTTGCATTCATAAAACCTGCAGGTTTTTCTTTTGTTTGTGCGTGCATGTATGTATTCATAAAGCAAGGAAAAGATTTTCTGGTTTGCTACAGCTGTTAGACTCGAAAAGAACAGATTAATAACTAGCCACCACGTAGGACTAGGTTTTCTTGTACACTGCACCAGTAACCCTTTGCTATAATGAGGACACAAAGAGGCTCACATCAGCCTGCTCCTCTTCTTCATAACTCAAAAGCGTCACAGTGGCAATAGCCTCTAGTGCTATTTGTCTTTAGTGCAGTTGTGACACTTCGGCATGATCCATAATTTGGCAGCTATTTACCGTGACATTTCCCTTCAGTGCAGCCATAACATTCAGTGAAGCCATTATTTGGTTCCATTTACCATATAAATTGTATTGTTGTGCATGCATGCTAGCAGCTACATTAGGTACCTGAAAATGAGTAAATCTTGTAAAATAGATACTAACAGTTATTCAGCAGAGAAATTTCTTTACTCCTCAGACAGAAGTAGGAATATATATATCTGAAAACACTACTGCAAACTTTTCCTTGAGAGACTGTAATTATATGTATTGACATGAAGAGCAGTTATTCATAGTCACTTACTAAATATATATATATAATATTTTCATATATATAAACACATATGCACACATGCAAATATATAGCAAACTCTCACTTGGTAGAAATCTAACTTAATTCAGAAAGGTATTAGGAGATTCCAGCATAGCAATTAAGTAGGAAGCACATCTGTAAAATGTGCTGAGGGTTGCAGGCCAGGAGAGAGAGAGTGTGTACGTGTGTGTCCGTGTGCGCGTGCGTATGCACACATGTGACAGACTCAGGAAAAAAGCCAGCTCTTCATCTACTTCTTTGTTGTTTTTCCATGGAAGCGTATGTGTGTAGGAAAGGGAAATTCTGTTATTAGTCTCGGCAAACAATGCCAGATTCCTCTGTAGCAAATTCATTTAGAAAGGTAAAATTAGGATGTAGTGCTAGCAACCACATCTCAACGAGCTGCTATTATTAATAGTATTATTATTTAAATCCCTACTCTCTACATATAGTATACTTAGTACTTCCCAGGCAAATGTATTATTATTTTTAATCATTTAAGTCCCCACTGTGCACACAGCTTTTAATACACCTTTTTTGCAAGCATATTAAGTGTATTGTTATTAATCCCTTGCTGTGACTCTACAGTATTTCTTTTCCTTGTATGTTCAATGTCCTATCATCATTTAAACCTCTCAGTGTGTGCATGCCATGTACATTTTCCTATCCATCTAATATTTAAACATTATTTAAATCCACCATAGCTTACTTATTCAAAGTCAGCCCTGCTCCCATAACTGTAAGTTTGCAGAACATACTTTTAAATAAAGAGGAGAAGTTGGCTTTTCCCCCCCCGCAAACCAAAAATTATTATGAATCTCGGCAGAAAAGCCTTATCTGCATGTTTCAAAAATACTGTTCATCCTCTCCTTGTCGATAATGCTCTCTTTTAGCAATCTAAATGATAGAAGTTGTATCTTTAAAAACAAAAATTACTTCTTCATTCCGGATTCATTCATGGAAGAGCAACCATGTATAGCCTGAGTTACTCCTTTAGCTTAACACAGGCACTTGACGAAAAGGACAAGCCCAACTCAAACACCAAAAGGGCTACGAAATTAGCACACTGGCCGTACGAGCTCTGCATATAACAAATTTAAACTTTTTATTAATGCTGTAATCAGCATGACAGTGCTAAATAATAAGCCTGAAGCCAAAATTAAAACCAACAAAATGTCATATCTGAATGTATATATGTGTGTGAACCTTCCAAAGGTTCCTCTTTTCCCTTATTTTGATCAGTGAAAGAGCCTGGGGCAGTTGCATTACTCAATGTTATAGATGAAGTAAATATTAAAAAGAAAGCAGAATGCTGTATGTCTAAACAGAATCCTGTTACAAGAATTTTTTACGACAAAAACATTTGGAATTCACCGCCTCGGAAACACCTAAACCTATTGGACTGGCAGCGATCAGCATCTCTGAAAATCGGGCCACTTGGATGAGTTTTCGCATTTGACTGCAGGAATTTAATTTGAAAAATTGTTACCCATGCAACTCCTCTATGCACATCACAGATGTAACCAATTGTATTCTTTTTCTTTTTATTTTGCCCTAGTACTTTCCAAACAGCTGCTTTTTTTTTTTTAAGATGCATCTATTGACCACAGGCACCGCCTCTTCTCTGAAGAAGAAACCATGTGCCTAGAAATAAAATAGTGAGAACTTTGCATGCTCTGATTCTGTATGGTACTTGAGTGTTTGCATCTTTCTAGCATCCAGCCGGAAGGCCAGTATCCCTTTCTAATTATGTGAACACACAAACCACCACAATATCTGAAATACTAGACAGGAAATAGGAAAAGATGTTTCTAACAGCAGATCATGGCGGTTTGATGCTCAGCCTGAGTAAAAGAGAAATGGTAACAAAGACTCAAGGCGTTCCGCCTTTCCCCAAAATCCTCCAAGGTGTGACTAAACCCAGCAGTCAGATATGGCCCCAAAAAAGGGACAGTTCTTTGTTGCACACAATTCTTTGGGTGCTAATAACATGCGCACTAAAAAATTACAATAAAAACGTGCTAAATCAAAGTTAAAAGTACTTTTTCTACAGCCTGTACTACTGAGTAAAATGCAAGTTTTTCCTACATGTTACTTTCAAAAATGTTGTGTATGGTCAGTCCTGAATAAGGCCAAAAAATTAAGTTTACCCTGAATTTTTTCCTTCAATCTCTAGACATTATCAGTCTATCATTATGTTTATTCCTAGGTGTATGATCCTAGGAAATTTCCATCTCTCTAACTGCATACAAATGTATATCATTTCAAAAGATGTGGCAAAATCAGCCTTTAAGATCTTAAACATTGGCTATGGAAAAAAGATGTGGAGCAAGCGTAGTTTAAAGTATTTTATTGTTCTGGAAAATATTACACTTCTAGCTGGAACTCCCACTGTGCGTACTGTTAATAATATCTATTAAGTGAGGAAGAATTTTCAAAACTTTACAAAAGCTTTTGGCTGCACCCTCTAGACAAACTATGGCCGAGTGTCAGTAGGCGTACGAGGTACCGTGACTGCAGATTTAAAATGGCCCTGCTGTTTGTAAAAGGGCTTCTGCAGAAGCAGTATTCGGTGCAAGTAGAAGCAGCAGCCCGATTATGGGAAGTCACAACAAGAACCATCGGTCAAAGAGCTCTACAACACAGAGGTTACCTACAAAGGAGCTAGTCAGCAAAACCCCATACCAATATGAATAAATGCCACAAATATTTCAATAGTTTTTTTAACTTTATTAAATCTTCAAAAAAAAATAGACAGGACCTGAACACACGTGAACATGACTCAAAGTCCCACTCCAACAATCTTGTAATACCGACCGAAGGGGAGACCGGACAGTGAACAGTACCAGTAGCAAATGAAAAGGCAAGAAACTGAGATTATGTTGCAACTTGTAGTTAAGGATTTAGAAGAAAATTGCACAGCTGTTTAGAGTTACAAAAGATGTAATTAAACAAAGTCAAGTTGCTTTTCTTAATATTACTGATATGTCAGAATTGGAGGACGAATGTTCCCTGTGTAACCAGTCAAGGAATATTACTATGATCCATGATGCAACTGAATTATGATTATTGTGTTTGTGACAAAAAAATGAAGAGTATAATTTTTTCCAGAAACTTCAAGAGAATAATAGAGCAACCACAAGATATGACTCTCTACTTAGTCTTGTTCTAACAATTTTATTTTTAAATCAGGGAATCAAAATTGCTGAACGATTTTTTTTTTTTTTCAGAGCTGAACTATATATAAAGTATTATCAAACCAGTCTGACAGACTAAATCTGCCTCTGCATCAAGACTTATTCTGTCAAGAACCATGTTCTTGTCTCATGCTAGCCTAAGCGACAGAATCAAACACAGGCCCACTAAGTCCGTGCTACAGCCACCGGCTTATGCACTTTAAAGAAAAGAAAAAAAAACCACAAACCTTTTTATTAACACCTTAATGCTGGTTTTTAATATAATATCAATTACTAAGCTTAAAAATAGAAATTGTTTCTAGTAATTCTGAGGCATAAAGTGCCCATTTTCTCTGTTCTGATTTATATCATTGCTCTGTTTTTACAGCTTACTGTTGACAGAGTGAGGTAATTCAACTACAATTTTTCCAATGTTTTTTCCCATGTACATGTAATCTACAGCACGGAATACAGACTCCAGGCCAGTGAACTTGCCCTCTGGAGACATGTCTCCGAAGTCCACCTCACAAACCAGGTCTCCTCTTTCATACATCTTGAGCAAGTGCTTCAGAGCCATTTTGTATTCAGAAAGGTAATGGTTCAAGAAGAAACCCTGGATGCTGGCAGACTTCTTCAACAGTTTTGCTGGCAATAACTCCGCTTTAACGGGCTGGAGGCCAGTAGGGTTTTGGTAGCCAGTGATAAACCCAATAACTATCAGGCACCCTTTGGTAGCCAAGGAGTTAAGCGCCAAGTCAAACATCTTTCCCCCGACAGACTCGTACACTACATCCACACCGTCGGGGTAGTCCTTCCTAAGCACAGATTCAACATTTTCAGTTTTATAGTTGATCGTACGGTCACAGCCAATGGACTTCAGAAAACCACTCTTTTCATCACTGGAGCAGGTTCCAATTACATGGCATTTTGCCTTCTTTGCAAGCTGCACAGCGAACTGGCCCGTTCCTCCAGCCGCTGCTGTCACCAGAACCTTCTTGCCTTCAGACAGCTCTCCCAGCTCTTTCAAACTGATGTACGCAGTAGCACCACTTACCATTAAAGTAAGAAACTCGGGTTTCGCAGAGGGTAGAGGAACTGCTTGCTTGGCAGGCACAACCGTGTATTCAGCAAAGGAACCTGCTTTCACGTAGGCCACGGCTTGACCCACTGAATAATCAGCACTAGCACTGAGTCCTAATGCTACCACATCACCGACACCTTCAAAACCTATATCAAACGGGGGTTTAACTGATGTGTCATATCGACCAGCTGAGTAGTTTATGTCAGATGCATTAATGCCGACAAATCTAGAAGAAAACAAAAATGTATTAACGGTTAATGTATTCCTCACCAAGTCTTTGTCGTACGAGAAACCTTCACTTTAAATTCATAGGATAAGTATGAGACTTTTTTCTGATTATTGGTACGTTTGAATAATGAGTATACTCCACAGACTTCTTCCATCAGACTTTTCCAGTTTACATTCTGTTACTACAGAAGTAAAGATAAATTTGCTAAAAGAAAAAAAAAAAAACCATTAAAAAAAGCCAAACTTATCTTTTTCTTGGGTCCATTTGACCAAACTATGCAAACTAAAAATAATTCTGCACAAGACTAAAGGACGAAAATTAATTGACCACTTTATACAAGATGCGAAAACACTGAAGAATAAAACGTGCAAAGCGGTAAATACGTGGATTCTGGCAACAAATTTACATTTTTGAATATAATAATACTGTTAATGACTAACGATCGTATTAACTATCGATGTCATTTGCAAGGTCATGTTACTGTAGGCAAGTACTTTTTAATTGATGGAGTCACTACAGCAAATTTGCCTTTTGATGTAGCTAATGTCAATGTTAAAATATTTTTCTTTATATAAATTACTTGCAACACATCAAAACAACCTTGCATAGAAGGACTAAAATTATAAGACTGAGTATCAAGTCCTACTGACCTCTAACAGGTGAAAACAGATGCTTTTTTTTTTTCAGAAAAAGAAAGAGACATTCTCAAAACTTGATTAAGCATTAGGAGATAATGTCTATAAGAAAGTCACGATCCAGCTTAAACACAAAGAATACTTAGTAGAGTTATTTTAAAAAAAAAAAACAAAACCAAAAAACCAACATAATAATATCTCTATACAGGAAAGGGGAGAGAGACTGGGGAAGATTCTGTTAACTGGAAAATGTAAAAAGAAACACACGCAGCAGAAAACGCCAGGACTTTTACTACATGCGGAAGTGACAATCTGAAAGGTGTCCCTGACACCACGCAAAAGCTGCAGAAGTACGCAAACAGCGCACTTTTAATTGATGCAGTTAGCAATAGGCTCAAATCATACGTGTGTGTAGTTTTAAATTGATTGCACACGGAGCAAGGAGAACTAAAACTGCTTTGCTCGTTTTGATTTCCTTCGTTCTTTAAAGCACAGGGAGCCTCAAACTTTCACCAATGTAATATGTTATATATAAAAAGACACGTGTGTATAAACATATCCATGCATAAAATAGGTGAAAGCGACTGTTGCTCTTTTTAATTCTGCCTTTAATTCACTGCTCAGCCGCAACACAAAATGCCAGTGTCTTCTTCGTAGACTCAGAAAATCCCCTATTATCCTGCTTTAAGGTAACTCCCATACAGTACTCCTAAAAGACGTGTAAAAATTGGTAACGGAGCAGCAGCTGTATAAACATATCCATGCATAAAATAGGTGAAAGCGACTGTTGCTCTTTTTAATTCTGCCTTTAATTCACTGCTCAGCCGCAACACAAAATGCCAGTGTCTTCTTCGTAGACTCAGAAAATCCCCTATTATCCTGCTTTAAGGTAACTCCCATACAGTACTCCTAAAAGACGTGTAAAAATTGGTAACGGAGCAGCAGCTTCCGAGGCAAAGCGTGTCCCTCGGGCGCCGG